GCTTCGATTAAGATCGTGTCAGTGTTTTAATCCCTAAAGATCCCCATCAAACTATACGTTAATCGGCTAGGGAGATAAGATGCGATGACGCCACAATGGCTCGACAGTTGCACTCGACGGGGAAACTCAAAAATCTTGGCCCTTGGGTTCCGTACGCTTTGGATGGAGAAAACGAGATTTGGTCTGCAAATATTCCTGACCCAAAATCGCCTTGCCCGTCAGCAGCGTAAACCAGTTTTGAAGGGGATTTTTACTGAGAATGAAAAATTGCACTCGTGCGTGAATCGAAAACGAGGGAAAGAAAGAATAAACCGCAACAGGCAAGCAAAACTTCGAACAAAGCCCGATCTTCATCCTGGCAAGATGTCGGAAATTTTCATTCTTGTCGGCCTGCCACACCTCATTCTTTCAGCTGTAAATAATCAAAAAATAAATGAATAAAATAAAATAAAAACTATAAACAAATTCTGGCAAGGGTAGTCTATAGGTATTACCGTAGGAGCTAACAATCCACAACATTTGTTTTACGGGGCCGGGGATAAAACGAAAGCCTTTCCTTTCGGATGTACAGATAGCATTTACATTGGACCATCTATTTGGGCAGGAGCAAGACGTTACCATTAATGAAATGCTACCTTATGTATATGATATTTCAGTTCTATCTAAGTATGCATATGTCAAATATGTAAATAATATCATTTAACACGCTGTTCAATTGCTAAACTGTCTGGTTTCCAGTAGACTAAATGGTTATTCCTATTTGCTATTGCGGCAAGGGTTTTTCTTAATAACTTAACCCACTGCGATAACCTCATGGAACTGTGGTGACTCATTCCACATAGGAGACCATACACCAAGGCCCCCGCTGCTAAAGAGTGCGCCTGCACTGAAGGTGGCCTCTTGAACAGCCAATCACAGATGCCGCAAAGCTGGCGGCGAATAAAATGCATGCACGTCTAGGTAGATGCAGTCTGTCCGGCTAATAACCTCCAAGGCCGACCAGAAAATGACCGCTCACGCTGGCCGCTGGCATGCCTGCTGCTAAA